ACGCAATCCATTTCCTTTCACTATTTTTGTCAGAACTCTGAGATCTGTTCTTTGTCTTTTTTGATGTCACTAAGTTCAACTTCAGATCACCTGATGTGGCAATGGAGCCAACTTAAATGTAGAAGTCTGCCTGAGTGGCTAGAGTCTGAGGGCATGATGCTGGGGAGCAGAAGGGTCTGAAGGGAAGTCCAAAAGGCAATCTCAGGTACAGGCATACCATACTTTATTGTGTTTTGCAGATACTGCAGCTGTTTGTTTTGCAAATTAAAGGTGTGTGGCAACCCTATCTCAAGCAAATCTAATGACACCAGTTTTCTAACCATATGTGCTCACTCTGTGTCTTGGTATCACATTTTGGTCATTCTCAAAGATTTCAAACCTCAACAGACTACAGTGTAGTTTAAATATTAGTTGTATATGCACTGGGAAACCAAAATAGCCATGCAACTCGCTTTATTGTTGTTGTTGTTAAGTACCATTGAGTCGGTTCCGACCCATAGCAACCCTGTATAGGGTTTCCAAGGAGCAGCTGGTGAGCTTGAACCACTGACCTTGCCGTTCAAACGGCTTTGCAGTCTGACGCATTAACCCACAGTGCCACACCAGGACGCTTTATTGTAATAGTTGCTTTATTGCGGTGTTCTGGAACTGAATTTTCAATATCTCTGAGGTGTACCTGTCTACACCTTGACTGTATAATGTGGGCTTTGCTCTGCCTCCAACATCCACCATCCCCCTCCACCGCCACTTCAATGTTCCAACCACAAGATGGAACGGGACCCTGAGATGCAAGATGCTTTATATCCAAATTTGGACTTTTCAGACCAAGGCATTCTAGGAATTAGAGTTGGAAATGAAAAGGCAGAAAGTAGCAGGTGAAATACTTTGGCAGGCTCCTTTGCACTTGGACAGTCCGTGTGTATAGTTCATGTCATCATTCCCCTTAAACCCTGAAAGTCCTATAGGGACCTCCTAGTCATATTCTCGATAAGGGAAGGCATAATTTCCCAGAAGTAGAAATCAGAGAAAATGGATCAGCTTTTTAAACCACTAGCTTGACGTGTAGTCTGTTCATTCAGGACAACTTTGCATGCCGTTTCCATGGAGTTGCTCCTTCTCTAGGGCCAATGATGCCAAATCCAGCAATGAAGTAGTTCCCTCAAGAGCTCACAGCAGGGCACTCTAGCAAATTATCCTCCAGCCAGGAAATGGAAGGATAGTATCAACAGCAGAAAGCTATGATTCAGGGATCAAACTGTGTTCCATTTCTCACATTTCTTCCTGAAATAAAAGTTGAAGGAAGCAAACGTTAATGAAGGGAAATTGTAGGGGAATAGTTCTAAACCACTCCTAACCACAGACTCATTGGAAAAATCTACCAAGCTATTGTTTCAGAAAAATATACAGTCTGTATTAGTTTCTGATGACTGCTATAAGGTCTGTAACAGTTTTAGATGCCAGAAGTTCAACATCAATTTCAGTGGGCCCAAACTGAAGTACCACCAGGGCTGTGCTCCCTTTGGAGGCTCTAGGGGAGAATTTGTCACTTGCTTCTTCCAGTTTCTGGTGGCTATCAGCATTCCTTTGCTCACGGTTGCATCACTCCCTTCTGCCTCCATCTTCGTATCACCTTCTCCTCTCCTACGTATATCAAATCTCCCCCTGCTTCTCTGTTATAACAGAGGACACTTCTGATTGCGTTTAGGACCTGCCTGGGTAATCTAGGATAATCTCTGCATAGCAAGATTCCTAATTTAATCATATCTGAACAGACCCATTTTCCTTATTGGGGAGCATGTACAGGTTCCAGAGATTAGGACCCGGTGTCTTTGAGTGGCCATAAAGTACAAAATTTTTGCATACAATTTCAGAAAGATCCTGGACCCCAGGTCTAATTGTCTCATCTGGAGTTGTATTTCTCCATAGGGATGTGGTGTAAAGATACCTGTGGACACATTGGATGCAGGCCCATTTAGTTAAGACTCTCAGATTAATGTCATATTTAGAGCAGTGGTTCACTAACAAACCTCTCTGTAGCTTGGAACCAATTACGAAGTTAAACCAAATCCATTGCCATGGAGTCGACTTGACTCATGGCAACTCCAGGTGTGACAGAATAGAACTGCTCTGTAAGGCTTTCCTGGCTATAATCTGTATAGAAGCAGATTGCCAGGACTTTCCTCTCTGGAGCTCACAGGGTGGGTTGCAACCATCAACTTTTAGGTGAGAAGTCCAGTATAAACCATTTGTGCCACCCAGGGACCTCAGAATCAACTAAATACCTGTAAGAGCCAGAAGTCAATGGGACTGCCTTGGTTTTCTTGGTCTTACATCGTTTCAGCCTTTCATAGGGTGCAGTCTTACCACTTTTCTATTGGTGGGAAAGATTTTTATTTTCCTTCTTGACCCGGTTTCCGCCTTACACAGGTTCTGGCTTTTGCAGGTTTTATTGAACAATGCTAGTTAAACTACAAAACCATGCCCTCACCCTAAACCTGGTGGTGGTGTGCCATAGCGTCGGTTCTGACTCATATCCACCCTGCATAGGGTTTCCAAGGCTGTAAATTTTTATGGGAGCAGAAATCCTCATTTTTCTCCCACACTCTAAGAATAGTAGATTAAAATCCCTGCGGTATAGGGGCCAGGTATCTGTATTTGTAAGCAACTCTCCAAAAGGATTCAGATGCAGTTTGCCTGGCGCCCAGACTTTGATGGATGCCGATTAAGAGCCTTGGTGTTTGGTACAGGGTGCTGAGAATGAAAGAGAAGAGGTCCAAGCAAACGCATTGTACCCAGAAAGCTCTACTGCTCTCCACCCCACCATCACTCCCCCATATAAAGGTGAGGAACTTTTATTGTTTACTTCATTATGGTCCCACCTCTCATTGAAGGCACCCAGACTCAAATTGAGGATTTCAGCTCAGGGAGAGAAAGAAAAGCAGGAGTTGGGGGCGACGGGTGGGGGAGTAGTCTTCAAGTCAATAACAAAATGGAAGTCAATAATAACATGGAAATCAGTGGATCAGCGTGGCCTAGCGGCTCTTAACTCTCTGTGGGCCCTCTCTTTCCGTTCCTCCTCCCTTCGGCTCCCCTCCGCTCCTTCCTCAGCTCTGCTCCACTCCACTCTCCTCCCCACTCCCGGTCTCACAGGGGCCCGCCCCCGCATCCCGCTGATTGGCTGCAGAACCCCCCTCGTCACACTCTTTTGTCTCAGTGGGCAGAGGCTAAAAGCTGCCGTTTCTGCTGCTGTGGGAACCGCGCTGCCTCCACTCAGCTACGCTCGCTGGGAGGCGGTGCGAAGCTGCTCCACCAGCCACCTCTAGGTCACTCTGATCAGCCGAGGAGACGATCGTCTTTTTCCCCTGGTAGGGCGGCGGAGACCAGGACGTGGACTCCCCAGTTATTGAAGCCTGGGCATCAGCTGCCCACCACCAGGTACAGGTAGAGAAAAGGGTGCGATTGCCCAGCTTGCGGAGTATGGGGCGGCTCCCCACTTGGGGAAGGAGCACTCCAATGGCTGGGCTGATTTGAGGAAGGAGGTAAGGGGTCAACTGGATGCTATGGAATGGATTGGGTTTGCCTGGATTGAGGGTGGGGGACATTTTGAGGGAGTTTGGAAGGATGCGGGGGTGGAATTGTAAGTTGCTGTCCTTGAACCCCCTTTCCCTCTCATCTCCTCTTGAAGAGAATATGGGGGTGTGCGTATCTAACTCCTTTTTCCCTTACTCTGTTTGTGGCAGACCATCGAAGCAGAAGTCTAACTGGAATTCTGAGTAGCTGATTGCAGAGCTGGTAGGCCCACGGTTTCCCAGTGGGGAATGTAAGGGTGGGGGTGGGGGTGGGGGAGGTCACTCTGGCTAATATTCAGCAGGTGGGAGAGGCAAATCTCCACCTGGCAACTGCAGAGGCAATGGGCTGGTGGAGTGGGGTGATAAAGGACTAAGCTATTTCTCGCCTTCCCTTTTCCCCTCTGCCCTCGGCCCCAGCCCAGCTTTGACCCTCAGTGGATAGAGACGGACCCCCGACCCCAGAGGCGAGAGTTTTCAGCACTGACTGCGAAGGCTGGGACAGAAACAAAGGCGGATGCTTGTTCCTGAAACCATGTAAGAAGCAGAATTAATGAGGAAAACTTTGAGAAGGGAGTGTGGTGGAGATAGGAGGCCGTGAGATTCATGAGATCTTATTAATTTCCACAAATCTGTAGACTTTGACCATGACACTCTACTTGTTGTTGTTGTTGTTGTTGTTGTGAGGCGACTGGTGAGATTGAACTGCCGACCTCACAGTTCAAAGCGGCTTTGCAGTCTGGCGCATTAACCCACAGCGCCACACCAGGACTGCTGACACTCTCCTTAGAGAGGATCATTGGATCATTGTCAGGAGTCCTGGCGTGGCGCTGTGGGTTAATGCGCTACACACTTAGAGAGTCCACACACCATTCTTCTTAGAATTCAAAGCAACAGTTTACCCTCCTGGAGGACTGGTAGGAGAATCCTGCTGACCAAGAGACATTGGCGAGCGCTGTTGTTAAGTGCCATAGAGTTGGTTTGGACTCAAAGAGCACCTGTATAGACTTTCTGAGGAGCGTTTCCTGGGTTTGAAGCACTGACTTTGTGGTTACCAGTCCAGTGCTAATCCTACAGTGCTTTGAGGTTGTAATTATCATTGTCCTGCAGGGCGTTGTAAGGGCAGTGGGCAGATAGAAAATGTGCTGCCGGGTGTATTCAGGAAGGGAGAGACTTGGGCTGCAGATTTGTTGTTATAGTTAAGTGCATTGGTTCTGATTCATAGCGACCCTGAATAGGGTTGCCAAGGAGCAACTGGTGGGTTTGAACTTGCAGCCCTTTTTTGACACCTCCTCCATTTCCCCCCCTCCTTTTTCTTTTCAGTGCCTACTAAGATACAAGGAAGGCAGAGTCCTGCAACCTTGCCTTGGGGAGACACCTGTTGATTTGGCTTTCCTGAAAAACTTGAGCATCTTGTTAGATTCATTGTTAGTCATGGCTAGCATCATTGCACGTGTGGTTAACAGTAGGGGGCAGAATGCTCCCTTGCCACCTTGGGTCCATTCCATGCTGAGGTCCCTGGGGAGGAGCCTTGGTCCTTTAATGGCCAACTTGGCAGAGAGAAACATAAAATTGTTCTCTGGGAAGGTGGTGCCAGCCCAGGGGGAAGAAACCTTTGAAAACTGGTTGATCCAGGTCAATGGGGTCTTGCCAGATTGGAATACTTCTGAGGAGGAAAAGCTCAAGCGCTTGATGAAAACTCTTAGGGGCCCTGCCCGGGAGGTCATGCGCTTGCTCCAGGCAGCCAACCCCAACCTAAGTGTGACAGATTTCTTGCGAGCCATGAAATTGGTATTTGGGGAGTCTGAAAGCAGCGTGACTGCCCATGGGAAATTTTTTAACACCCTGCAGGCGCAAGGGGAGAAAGCATCCCTTTATGTGATCCGCTTAGAGGTGCAGCTCCAGAATGCTATTCAGGCAGGGGTCCTAGCTGAGAAAGACGCAAACCAGACTCGCTTGCACCAACTCCTTCTCGGGGCTGAGCTGAAAAGGGACCTGCGCTTCAGGCTTAAGGATCTTCTCAGGATGTATGCAAATGAGCAGGAGCTGCTCCCCAATTTCCTGGAGTTAGTCAGGATGATAAGGGCAGAAGAGGATTGGGATGACACTTTTCTTAAACGGAAGCGCCCCAGAAGATCAGAGTCAGTTGGGGAGAGGGCAGCTAACCCTGTGGCATTCCAGGGCTCCCAGCCACTACCAGTTGGCAATGCTAAGTGCAGTGTGATAGAGATAGAAGATCCCCTCCCTGAGTCAGATGAAGATGTGATCCTTGTGGAGCCCCGGGACCCTCCATTTCCATCCAGGGGGGGTCCTTCCCCGAGATACAGGGATCCGGCGCTGGTCAATGATTCCCCCAACACTTCCTGGGCCCAGTCTCCTTCCACCAGTGGTGGTTCTGGGCGTAAGAATGATGGTCCTGGGGATAAGCGTAAGGCCAAGAAGCGCAAATACACAATTCGCTGTTCATCTTGTCATAAAGAGGGCCACTCAAAAGAAGCCTGTGAGGAGAACAAGGTCCAGGTGTTTGAGAATCTGATTATCACCCTGCAGGAACTGACCCAAACTGAAGAGGAGGAGGAGGAGCCAAAAGAGGTGGCTGGTGAATACAGTGAACCCTCTGAGTCACAGTGAGGGGCTAAGCCCTAAGTGAGCCTTGACCTATATTGAGAGTTCAGTGGTGGGAAAACCGAGGGAAGGGTTCTAACTGCATGCATTAATCCATAGAGCCACTTTCTTTTGGGGTCAAGGAGAAAAAGTTCTGGATACCGGCACAGAGGAGGAAGAAAGCCTGACCTCTGTCCTTGCTCCCTCCCTACCTGTCTAAGGGCCTGTTTTCTGTGTATGTCCATTGATTTCTTGATGGCTGTACTGTCTGTGGAAGTGGTACAAGTGCAAGTACAGAAACGAAAGTGCAAATGCCTGAAGCCCTCCATCCCTTATGTAACCATTGTCCGCCCTCTGATGAATGTACTTCTAGATACTTCCCTGTATCTGTATACCCAGATAGATTTATTTATAGATGAAAGTGATCAAATAAATATAAGTGCTGTTCTATAGTGTGTATTTTTTCACCAAACTATATGTTGTGACCTTCTTTCTTTGTCAATAAATATATAGCAGCATCTATTTTCATGTCTCTGTGGTATTACTTTGGGAAGAAGTAAAGGAAAAATAAATAAGGTAAATATAAAACTGTAAAGAAGGGTCAGACCCTGAGGTGAGTGTTTTTTGTTTGTTTATTTATTAACCTCATCTTACAGACAATGCAAAGGGAAGATGAAACTGTCTGTAACATCCCCCCAAGGTAAAAGGGGAAGAGCCCCTTACCACAACTGACAAGATTCAAGGTCATAGAGCCCAAGTACAGCATCTATGGACAATACCCTAGTGTTTTATTCCCCAGTCTATCCAGGTGCCCTGGTGGCAAGGCTATGCCTCTCCCATAAAAGTTTACAGTCTCAGAAACCCTATATAGGGTCGCTCTGAGTTGATGGCAGTGGGTTAATGGGAATATGTTGAGAGGAGTCTGAAGTATAGTCTGGTTACCTTGAGGTAACAGCCCCACATGGGGATTCTAGGAGCTCAATTTCTCTTCACATGGCAGACAGAAGGGTGGCTCTCCTGTCTCCGCGTGGATTTCTTAGATTAATGCCGCTGCTACTACTGCTTCTGGACGACCCTCTGCTCACAACCAGGACTCTGTCCTGTGAGATGACACTCCCTCTGCCTACCCCAACCCTCACCTAATTAAGGAAAGGCAGCACAACGTGAGGAGGGTCAGGTCCTGATAGCATCTAAGCCCACCCTGAAAACTCTGGCTGCTGTGTTAGACTAGAGAGCACACACAGGTGGTCAGAGGCCTCCACGCTAACCCCGCCCCCTCTCTCCCACCTCCCCATTCCAAGAACTGAGACTAGCTGGGGAGGAACGGCAAATCTGTCTTAGAAGAAGCACAGCCAGAATGCTCCTTAGTAGTGAGGGTGATGACACTTCGTCTCTCATACTTTGCACATGTTGTCAGGAGGAACTCGTCCCTGGAGAAGGACATCATGCTAAGTAAAGTGGAGAGTAAGTAAAAAAGAGGAAGACCACAATGAGATGGATTGATGCAGTGGCAGCAACAATGGGTCTAACAACCACAACAAAAGGGAGGGGTGAACGGAGCCCTGATGAGATGGTGGGCTACCTGTTATTGCTAACCACAAGGTTGGGGGTTCAACCCCATGAGCTGATCTGCAGGAGAAAGATGAGGCTGTCTTTATAGTCTTAGAACCCTTATATAGGGTATCTACGAGTCGGAATAGGACTCCTGCTGTGGGACTGTAGGATCAGCTCTGGACTGTGAACCACAAGGTCGGTAGTTCAAACCCACCAGCTGCTCCTTGGAAACCCTCCATGAGGTTGCTATGAGTCGGAACTGACTCGACAGCACCTAACAACAATGAGTCAGAGTTGTGGATTTGGCTTGGGGTGGGATGAAAAGTCAATATGCTTGCCAGAGAACATGAAGGAACACAACATCTGAAAGTCAGGACGTCTTACACATCGTTTTAGCAGAACTGAAGGCATTGGCTGGTGGGGGGTGGGGAAGAGGTGAGGGACAGGGGGAGAGATAGCAGAGAAGAGCCTTCCTGGTTACCTTCTGCCTTGTCTGCTGCTTGTTGCTGTTGTATGCAGTCAAGTTGGTTCTGACTCATAGCAACCGTTTATAGGGTTTCCGAGGAGCAGCTGGTAGGTTTGAACCACTAACCTTGTAGCTACTAGTGTTTATCTTACTGTACCACACCAGGACTCCGATCTCGGGTTAAGTGCCATTGAATCGGTTCCAATACATAGTCACTTTGTAGTCACCTTGTATAGAGTTTCTGAGAAGCAGCTGGTGAGTTTGAACTGCTGACCTTGCATAGGGTTTCCAAGGAGCAGCTGGTGAGCTTGAACCACCGACCTTGCAGTTTAAACGACTTTGCAGTCTGACGTATTAACCCACAGTGCCACACCAGGGCTTTAAATCTTTATGGGAGCAGCAAGCCTCGTCGTTCTCTCATGGAGCAACTGGAAGATTCAAACTGCTGATTTTGTGGTTAGCAGCTTAGCTACCACGGCTCCTTTATGGGGAAGGAAGGGGGAGTGAAATGAGTGCCCTAAGGAGTCCTGGTGTGGCGCTGTGGGCTAATGCGTCAGACTGCAAAGTCGTTTGAACTGCAAGGTCAGTGGTTCAAGCTCACCAGCCGCTCTTGGAAACTGTATATAGGGTTGCTATGGGTCGTAATCGACTCGATGGCACTTAATAACAACAACATACTGACCTGAGGACATGAAAGAGTTTGTCATGAAGGATACAGGAGCTCTACTGGGCTGATGAGAGAGGAAGCATATTGGGAGAGAAAGGGGAGATGTCATGATGTCCAGGAGACTCATCTACATTGACAGGGACACGAAGCCTGGTAGGACTTGCAGAAGCAGAGATTTCACACACAACTCTGGGCTGTGATGTCCCAAAGACGACCCAGGGAGAGGTGTTGGCCTTCTAGTTATGTTAGCTATTGATGGCCTGCTTAGTGAGGCAAAGGGTTGGAGGCTGAGGGCCTGAGGGAGAGGTAGAAGCCAGGCACTACAAGGACCCTGCTGCAGTCTTTTCTGGGCTGTCATGCCAAGAACTGAATGAGAAGTGCTTCTCCTTCCAGAATCACCCCCATCAGCTCCTGCTCCATTCATGAGCCCACACTTGGACCTTACAAACACTTCCCTCCCCTTGTTGTTGTTGTTAAGTGCCGTCGAGTCGGTTCCGACCCATAGCGACCCTGTACAGGGTTTCCGAGGGTGTAAATCTTTACGGGAGTAGAAAGCCTCATCTTTCTCCCGCGGAGCGGCTGGTAGTTTCGAACCGCTGACCTTAAGGTTCGCAGCCCGATTCGTAACCACTACGCTACCAGAGCTCCTTCTTCCCTCCCCTAGAGCCACACTTATCTCTTGTGCTCTGCTCATCACTACTGCCTCTCTCCATAAACATCCCCTTCCCAGCATATAATGTTTGCCTCCATAACCCTCATGGCCAGCAGGAGATTGGGAGGGCCCTTCTGCCTCTAGTCCTTTAGTTGAGAAGTCGACCAGGAGCAAAGGCTTAAGAGACCTGCAGACTGCATACTCTGGGATACCTCTGGACCCCTCACAGGGGAGCCCCCCCCCCCCAATTTCCATCAGGCAGCAATCAACGGACCCCTAACATTCACCAGCACAAATAGTTTTATGATACTTTATTCTTCTCTAAACCCTCCCAAGCCCAAACCAGTCAAGTGGATTCTGATTCACAGCAACCCCGTGTGTGTCAGAGAAAAACTGTACTTCAGAGGGTTTTCACCACTAGGTCTGTCTTCCAAGGTGCCTCTGGGTAGGTTCAAATGGCCAACCTTTTGGTTAGTAGTTGTGCATTTCGCTATTTTTGCTACCCAGGGACTCTATTTCTTTTTGTTGTTGTGTTCTGTCAAGTCAGCTTGGTGTCTTAGCGGCCCTAGATGACAAGGCAGGACGGCTGCACATGGTTTGGCGTCTTAGGTGGCAATCTAGGAAGAAATCAATAGGGCATTTCTCCCACAGAACCGCTAGTGGGTTCAAACCACCGACCTTTTTAGTTAGCTTTTGAGTGCTTAACCGTTGTGCCATTTTGGTGTTGTTGTTAAGTGCTGTCGAGTCGGTTCTGACTCATAGCGACCCTGTATAGGGTTTCCGAGGAGCGACTGATGGGTTTGAAGTGACAACCTTGCAGTTCAAACTGACCTTTTAGTCCAGTACATTATCCTGCAGCGTCATACCAGAACTCTTTATTCTCCTTCTCCCTCCCTGATACCACCTTTGAGGAATATTTGCCGTCTCATTTGGCCCAGAGTATACCTACTTCCTGCTCACATTTTGTAAATGTTTACTCTCTAAACACTTGTTGAATGATTTGCCTAAGTATAGTTTATGGTGCCATAATTTCCTTTGGGCACCTGGTAGAATAAAAAGATGAAAAGAAAACTCAATTAATTCTGCTTATCCCCTTTTCCTCTTACTAAGCCTGGGAGGTTCCGTACAGACCATTGCTTTGAAAGCCTGTTCTGTGATTCCCCCCATTTTTCTTTCTTCCCTCTATCCTCTTCTCTGTTGTAAACTAGAAACTATCTACATTTTTGTTTTTTATTTCATCAATATGATGTAAAACCGACATTTCTTTTTATTTCCCTTTGTATGATACTGGTTTTTCTTTTATTCAGGAAATGTTATTTTCCCTAATTAGAAGAGATGGCATTCAGATCAGACTAATGGGGGTAAAAGCTGACAAAAGGCTTTTAGTGAATCCTGCGTCTCACAGCCTTCATTGAAAATGATGGATTTTTTTCTTTGCTTTCTCCTTTTAGTTTCACTGGTCGCTAAGAGATGAAAATCACTCTTTTGTCTCGTCAGCAGAAAGTAGTCTCTGAGTATCCTTTTGCATCATCTCCTGCCTTCCCTTGGTTTCCATGACACCCCTCTTCATTGGTCCCCACTCTCTGATTTCTTTCTTTCTTTCTTCTTTTTTTTTTGGATCCCACCACTTCTTAGTCTCCTTTCCAGAATCTCCTGCCTCTTCCTGATCCTTCTAGTAAGGAAACTTA